ATTAGGGGAAATGGGGGAATTTAAGAGTTTTAGGAAGAGTAGCAATGTGAGCACTGTGTGTGTGAGCTGAGGAAGGAGCACTACCAAGGAGCATGCTCAGAACCTCTCTTCTAGAGTTTTAGGAGTGTTATTTACCCAGCTCCTGCTTCTCACTAGCAGGAATCCAGGTTCTGCCTCCCAGACCTGGGGAGGGGGGTTTGTCTCACACATTCTTGTCACGATTTACCTTAGTAGCACCCCATGGCAGCTGGCATGAAGGAGGGAGTCAGCAGCTGGCAGAGCAGGGAGTGAGTGCAAAACTGTTGTTGGCCAAACCTCCAGGTGTCATCTGTGTGCTTGAGTGACACAGTCAGGGACTTCGGGCTGTTAATGCTTGAGGCCCTTTGAGGTCATCTAACCCAGCCCCCCCATCCCGTGCACTGGAAACCTGTGGTGCCGGGAGGGATGCAAATTATCCGAGGTCTCACCACACAGTTAGGACTAGACCCCAGGCCTCTAGGCTCCCAGTCTGATTTTCTCTGCACAGAGAGATCTGGGCTCAAAGCTGAGCCCTACTCTTCCCCTATCATGCACTTTAAACAAGTTACTTAACTGTGCAGTTCTGTCATGTGGAACGTGGAGATAGCATTATTTCCTTTTGGGGGTCGCTGTGGGGGGTTAAAGGAAATAATAATGCGCATCAAGTGTCTCTGTTGCTTAATGCCTGGTGGGTAGCATGTGCTCAGTTAGAAGTGACTGGTATTATTCCATCCTTCCAGGGTTCTGTTTCCACTCCAGTGTCATCCCACTGCTTGTCTCTGGTGGTGGTGGTCCTGGGCTCATGCAGGGCTCCTACAGTAGCTGAGCTCATCAGAGCAGCATTTTCTCAGGTTGTCCAGGAAGACAGGGGCATACCTTGGCTTCACTGGGTTTAGGACAAATACTGAATTTAAAACAGTAATCTTCAGTCTGGGCTATAGCACAATAGTGTGCTCTTTTGGAATAAAAAATGAAAACATTGAAGGAGGTATGTATATAATCTGGCATGGGTAGAGTGATTTTTACCATACAAAAAGACTCCCCCATTCACAGAGGGATTCATGGTAGGGGTACTTTAAATCATCAGTTCCTTTTAGTGTTCTTCCTCAGGAGTACATTTCCCTAGTGTGATTCACACCTACTTTGCAGGAAAGGGCCTCCTGCCCCCCAGTGTTGTCACCCCCCCCCCCACCTTCTTGCAAGATTCCCTTGAGCTTTGAGCTGAAGCAGCTGAATCCTGGAAGGGGAACAATGTAACTGCTTCAGAGTATAAGATGCACCATGATTTTATATGCCACTAAGAAAGAAATAGCAGTGCTAATTTTAACTCTCAGATGAGATTGATTGAGAAACAAATCCTGATTTCAGAAATGTCAAAATGTGAAAAAAAAATGTGGTTGACTCTTGAACGATACAGGTTTGTGCACTTACATGTGGATTTTTTTGATAAATATGGTACAATAGGGTAAATATCTTTTCTCTTCCCTATGATTTTAACATTTTCTTTGCTCTAGCTTACTTTATTGTAAGAATGTGGTATATAATACATATAACATACAAAATATATGTTTATTGACTGTTATCGGCAAGGCTTCTGGTCAACAGTGGGCTATTTCTAATTAAGTTTCTGGGAAGTCAAAGCTCATATACAGATTTTTTCACTCCCCAAGGGTTGGTGCTCCTAACCCCCACATTATTCAAAAGTCACCTGTACTTTTTAGAATCACTGAAATGCACTGTTTGAGAACCAAATCAGCTGGATATTAATGGGAGAATGAGAACATACAAATGGGATCAACCCCCAGGTTATGCTTGGCTTCACATTATTTAAGTATCGTTTTTTTGTTTGTGAAAGAAACCACTACTTTGTAGGTTCTTCAGGACAGATACTGGGTCTCTTTTGTTCACCACTGTATCTCCACCACCTTGTTCATAGTTGGGGTTCAACAAATATTTGCTGAATGAATACATAAAACAAAGAGCCACATTATAAAACATGTGGAAAACCCAGGAAAGAAAATAAATCATTCATAATTCCCCCACTGTGGGTATTCTGGCTTATTTCCTTCGAGTCTTATTTCCTATGAATGTGCTCTTTTATATACATGTAAACATAATTTATTATTAGATTTAGCTCCAGGATGTGTTTTTGTATTTCTCTATTAATATGAATGAAATGATGAAATGAGATGATGCAGAAATGCTTTGAAGATTTGTAAAATGTTTAACCAAATATCTTATTATTAGTTATAATAATCCTAGCAATGCTGCTATGAATAAGGCTGATTTTCTGAGAACGCACTTCAAAGCAAACAACAAATTTGTTTTCTGAAGCTGGGAATGGGCTGTCCTTGCATTCTGCTCACCATGGGGAGTCCCTTGGTTCCTTTTTGGGAAGAGAAAGAGACTCAAGGGTACTTCGAAGTCCTGAGCTCCAGCTTCCCACTCGGTCCAGAAATTTCTTTAATGTCACCCATGGAGGGTAAGTCCCTGCTTGAGAATACTCAAGTCTGCCAAAAGAATTTACTATTTGCTCCAGCTGACCTCTGAGATTGGGGATCTGTCTCCTTGTTTTTGTGGGCGGAGAGGAGCCTAAGTCTGACAAGTGCCAGTAGTAAACCCAGGAGGGTTTCTCATGGCCCAGTCTCTACTTCTGCCATGTTTCATTTCCTTGACTCTGCTCCAGGCCCTTCTGTTCCCTCCCTTCCCCTCACACTTCCATTAAGATGCCCAGCCACAGGGCAGCTGGCTGGCTCAATGTTTGAATGTCTGCCTTTGCTCAGGTTGTGATCCTGGGGTCCTGGGATCGAGTCCTGCATCAGGCTCCCCACAGAGAGCCTGCTTCTCCCTCTGCCTGTGTCTCTGCCTCTCTGTGTGTGTCTTTCATGAATAAATAAAGAAAATCTTAAAAAAAAAAAGAGCCCAGCCACCTCTGTACCAACAGAGGTTGAGTCCCATTCATGCTGAACGCCTGTCCCTATTGGAATGGTATATATATATATATATATATATATATATATATATATATATATATTTAAAGATTTATTCATATATCTTACATAAATATATATATCTATATTTAAAGATTTTATTTATCTATTCATCACACACACACACACACACACACACACACACACACACAAAGGCAGAGACACAGGCAGAGGGAGAAGCAGCCTCCATGCAGGGATCCTGACGTGAGACTTGATCTGGGGTCTCCAGGATCACGCCCTGGGCTGAAGGCAGCGCTAAACCACTGAGCCACCTGGGCTGCCCAGGAACGGTATATTTTTGATGAAAATCTGTCCTTGTCACTTCCATGAGTGTCTGGCATTGCCTCCAGTTGGCAGTACTCAAAAGCCCAAGAGGTTAATAGCTTGGGTTCTGGGCTCCGCAGGGCTGCCTGTCCATCTGCGTACCTTGACTTGTTCATCTGTGTTCTCACTTTTCCCGACTCAAATCCTCAGCCCTGAACTTGGTTTCCTACCGTCTGCTTCATACCCTCCTTCTTCTGTCCTTAGGGATGAGGTTTTCTGGTTGTGCCACCTGGTTCCCACCTGGCATGGCCTTGCGTGCTTATTTCTACTTTCCCCACCTGCGTCAGGCTCCGGGACCTGTGGAGGCCAGGCAGCCTCTCAGCCTCCTCTGCCCCTGCCTCAAAGTCAATGTTCCACCTACTGTGTACTGCACAGGAGGCCGATCCTGGGCCTTAGCAAGTACGCAGGCATTAAATACAGGGAACAGTTTGGGAGGCCCCCACCATCAATGCCTTCTCAGAGATTCAGAAGCATAGTTCACTCAGAGATTTAAAACCAGTTTCTAATACAGAAGGTCAATCTATAAAGTGGCTAAAGAGCTGTGGTCAGTACTAGATGACAGATGACATTTGAACCACATTTTAAAAACAAGCTGAGCTTGTAAGTTATGTGTGCCTCTCTTTCTGACCCCTCCTTCACTGTTTTTTTTAAGATTTTATTTATTTATTCATGAGAGACACACACAGAGGGGCAGAGACAGAGGCAGAGAGAGAAGCAGGCTTCCTGAGGGGAGCCCGAAGTGGGACTCGATCCCAGGACCCCAGAATCACGCCCTGAGCTGAAGGCAGACGTTCAATCACTGAGCCACCCAGGTGCTCCGCCTTTACTGTTCTTTCTGATTCCTCCTTTCCCACCCCCTAGACCTTGTGCTCCTACCACTCCTGGACCTCGCAGGGCAGGTTGTCTTGGATGCTCTGATTTAGGACTCAGTCTTTCCAGTGTTCATTCCAGGCAAACCAGGAGGTAAGAGAAAGAGAGCGTCCCTGTGTCTGTCTGCAGTACTGCTCTGAGAGCTCTTCCCCACTGAGAATCTGTGAACTTCTCCCTTCTGAGATGTGAAACCCACATCAGACGTGAGGCTGTGCCTGTCCTCACTCTCCTACATGCAGAGTTGATGCAGCAGGCCTGGCCCACTGAATGGTCACCCCCGCAGTGCGAAGTCAGAGGGAGCAGGCAGGAACCCATGCAAGAAGCTTCCCCCCACTTACACTCTTACAAGAGTGATGTCCCCCATCATCCCTTTCCCTTTTGGTAGGTCACTCTGAGTTGTATCAACACAAATGATGAAGCACCAGACCCTGGCCAGCAGGTTTCCTTAGCTTCCAGTGTTTCCCCCTCCCCCTCAAAAGATTTCTTGCATCCCCTCCACCCCCCAGAAGGTTCTGGAAAAAGTCCTCACTGAATTCAATGAAAAAGGAAGTAAGCTGAATTTCTCTCACATCCAAGTTTAGAAACCAACAGGTGGTACAGGAGAACTGGGTTACAGAAGTTAGCTGACACCTCGATCCAATTTCCAGGTGAGCCACTGTCCTGAATCCAGCCTTGCTTGAGCCTCCTGAGTGGACTCAGAGCCTTGAAGGAGTGGGAGTTCCATTTCCCCTCCCCTGTGCCTCTGTAGGTGGCTGGTATAGGCCCGGGACCACTGGTCCAGGGAGCCCAGGAACTTACCCTCTGCTCCTGGGTGGCCACGAAAGTCTGGAACCCTGGAGCCACCCCAAAGCCCAGTTCTTGGATGAAAGGTGGCTCAGATTGACTGTGGATCTGAACTTTCACTCCTGCTTCAAACGTCGTTTCCTCTGAAAGGACAAAGACAGAGCCATGGGTCAGCAACTTCCGGACTCTAGGGATGCTAGAAAGGGATGCTAGAAAGGCCACGTGGTGGGCAACATAATGGCCTGCCAATATGACCACATCCTCATCCCTGGGAACTGTAAAGATGTCACCCTGCATGGTGGAATGGACACTGCAGATGGGATTATGTGCAGTTAGGGACCTGGAGATGGGGAGGTTATCCTGGATTACCCGGGCAGCCCAAAGTCATCACAAGGGTCCTTGTGGGAGGGAGGTGGGAAAGTCAGAGTCAGAGAGAGAATGCAAGAAAGTTTTGTTGCTGGCTTTGGACTTGGAGGAAGAGCCACAGGCCAAGGGGTGTAGGCAGCTTCTAGACACTGGGCAAGGCAGGGGAATGGATGTCCACCCCCTCCCCCTGCCCCGAAGCTCCCTCGAGGAATGCAGCCCTGCCAACAGCTAGATTTAAGCCAAGTGAGACCAGTTTTGGACTTCTGGCTTCCAGAACTATAACAGAATAAATCTGTGTTGTTTGAAACCACTCAGTTTGTGGACTCTGTTATGGTAGCTGTCAGAAGCTAATTCAGGCCAGTTAGGCCAACCCTTTGCTTTGGTCTCCAAAACTATAAAATGGGATTATGAAGTGAGTCAGGCACCTTTATTCTATTCACTAGAATAGCTTCTCTCCTGGGCCATGAGCGGAAGGCGAGGGGATCAGGAGGGGGAACACCCGAAGACACAGCAGTCAAAATAAAAATACAGGACTTGCTTGGATGCTGAGATGCCTGCCCCTTGGAGCCGCACAGGATGGGCAACCAGAAGAGAAGCTTCTGCTTCTCTTTCATTTGGCGAGAGAAATGACCCTTGGCAGTGGGAGATGGCAAAAGTGGTGGAAGGTGATGGGATGGCAGGGCCTGACTCATCCGAAACACTCACAATTGAGGGAGAATGAATCTCTGGGATGTGTGAGCCTTTACTGGGCCTCCTCTGTCTTATTCTTTCCAAACAGCCTGCAGAGTGAGCTTTGCAACATGCAAACCTGCACAACTCTCTCCTCTGCTGATAAGGAGCCCAGCCCCTTAACCTGCCCCCATTCCAGCCTTGCTCTGGGCAGCCTCCTGCTTCGTGGCACCAGGTGTCTGGCCCTCCAGGGCTGCCCAGATTGGCTGTCACTGGTCTCAGCCCCGCACGGATGCACGTGCATTTCCTTCTGCCTGGAATGCCTTTCGACCTAGTCCACATGACCAATCTCCCTACTCAGCACTGAATATTCAGCCTCTAGCCAGACCCACAGCAAACACTTCTCTTGCTCTGTTGTATTCCCACACCATGCACCAATCCTTTATCTGGCAGTCTCTTCCACCAGGCTGGAGTATCCTGAGGCCAGGTTCGGGGCTGTCTCCCTGGATCTCAAAGGTCCTGTGCAGGGCCAGGCAGAGAGCAGGCACTCAGGGAATGCCTGCTGAGTAAATGGGAAATTTGTGACTCAGACCTCCCTCAGTTATTCATGGGTAGGTCCAATCTAGAGTCCAAATTGAGGGGTGTTCTCAAAGAAGGGAACGGGGAGAGGTTGGGTAAATACAGGAAGGGGGGAAGATGGCGTGGGGGAGAAATGGAGGCCGCGGTCAGGGAGTGAGTGAGTTGTTAGCCCTGGGACCATGGTTTGGGGATGAACGCTGTGGGGAAGGAAGGGCTGGGGGCAGGCACGGGAATGGGAAAGACCCACGGACAGCCTGGAGGCCAGTGACAGAGGCAGGGGAAGGGGGTGGGAGCTGGGTGAGAACTCCAAGGTAGGGGTGTGTGGACGGAAGGGCTTAGTAGGCGCACAAGGATTAGCGGGAAGGATAGGCAGGTGTTCTAGAGGCCAGGTTTGGAGCCCGATGGCTGACATGGTGTTTAGGCAGAAGAGACTCTCAGCCAGGAATGCTTCGGTCCTGTGTTCTCAGAACAGAGGAGGATCCCAGGCAATCCACAAACACACGCCCTTCCCTCCAGCGGTTAAGTGTTCTGCTGTTTACCCGGATGGTCCATGCAGACTGCATGTTCCGGGATGCCCATGGTCTTGGGCCCATCTCTCCCCATGCACGATGAATGCCTCAGAGAAGAGATGCCCCTAATTCCTCCCAGTGCCCATGGCCTGGCGGGTGGCCCCACAGGTGCCTCAGGGAAGGGGACTGCGGGAGACAGAGGATGGGCGGGAAGGGGAGGGGTGAGCCTGTCCAAGGGAGGGGTGGAGGAGAGCTCAGGAGCCAGAGAATGGGCTCGGTTGGGGAAGGAGCGAAGGCGGCATGATGCTGGGATCACAGGATGCTTTTGCTTGGATGATCTGAAGGCATGTTCAGTGAGCTGTGGGGGGTGGGGTGGGATGGGACTGATGCCAAAACTTATTTTCTGGAGCTCTCCGAAGCTGCATGCCCGCTGTATAACTGAGCTTAGGAAACCTTCGAACCAGTAAGACAGGCTCAAAGGAGGAGGCCCGTGGCTTACAGGGAGAAATGAAAAGTGAAGCCTTTCTGTCAGAAATGCTTTGAGTAATGGACAAAGCAGACAGGCCAGGCATGCCTGCATGGGGAGAGCTGCCCCAGGCCAATAGGACTGGGTTGGGATTTGGAAGAGTTTATTCGAGAAGCAGCAGGGGCTGGGGCAGAGAACATTTTAAAATAATCTCATAACATTACAAATACCCAGCAAAGGATGGGCGTAGAAGAGTGGTGGATAAGGTTTCCACTCTCTTTAGAGAATTTTCAGCCATGATGGAATCTTCTAGGATCTGTGCTTTCCAACATAGTAGCCACTAACCACATGACGTGCGACAAATGCAACCAAGGAACTGAAATTTTAATTGACTAATGAATCCCCTCACCTCAGCTTTACTGAGGTATAATTGACAAATTATGAGATAAAGTATATAATGTGATGATCTGATGTCTGTACATGCTATGAAAGGATTTCCCTATCAAATTAATTAATCTGTCACCTCACATACTTACCTTTTTTGCTTGCCTTATTTATTTTTAATTGAATTTAAATTTAGTTAATTAACTTAAATTTAAATATCCACATGTGGCTAGTGACAACCTCAGTGGGCAGTGCAGCTGGAGAATGTTAGGTGTAAGCAGACCCCAGATGTCTCAGAGTATTGAGAATGGCAAGGATGCCACCCCCTACTTTCCTAAGCAGGTGCCCCTGGTGGTCTCTAGCCTGGAGACCTTGGGTGATTTGGGTGAGGCTCTGGGGAGCAGGGCTGTGCATATTCTCAGCCAGCCTACGGTTATAGTCCCAGACCCTCTCTGGCCCTGCTTTTCCCATAGCACCACTTATTCTCACATCTCCAGATGGTTTGTTTCTCTCCCTTCGTGGAACTGCCCTTGGCTTCCCTCTGTGGATTATTTTCTAGTCTGATTAGTAAACAGCCCCCTTACAGTTTCTGCCCCATACCCACTTGTGGTCTCTTACATTTTCTGGATGTGGATGCTGTCAGTATGCAACTATGAAGACTCAATTTAAGAGCTGAAGTTATCAAACACAAACTGCTAGAGCCAAAGGCTCAGAGCATGTACCTTAGAGGTTCTCAAACTGGAATGCAAATCAGAATCATGTAGGGAGCTCTGCGTGACGATTCTGGGGACCCATCCCTAGATCTGGTCACTCTGGGGTGGAGCCCAGGCATCTGCATTTCCAGAGGTTCAGCTATAGGTTATCTGAGGCCAAACACATTTGGACAAGTAGCAAACTGGTCCAGAGAGGGGATGTGACTTGCTCAGGGTCACACAGCAAGTCAAAGGCAGAGCAGGGGCTAGAAGCCAGGTCCCCTGACTTCCAGCTCATTCCCTGCCCTCTAGCAGCTTCGAGTTTGCCCAGGGTCTGGTTTGGCACAGGGAAATGCCAGCACCACATGCTGCCTGTCCACATTGCAGGACTCAGGGCAGGGGGCGGGATCTCTTTCACAGAGATGCAGGTGGGCTGTGCATAAAACCAACAGCAGCAGCAGTAGCAGCAGCCAGAACAGTAACAATAACCGCCAGGACCACTTATACAATTTTTGGGTCCCAGTGCAAAACAGAAATGTGGGCCCCCTTATTAAAGAATTATTATGAATGTCAAGACAGACACAGCAGAGCCTTAAACCAAGAGTGTAGCCCTTGTGAGCACGGGGACCTGCGTGACTGTGTGTGTGTGTGTGTGACTGCTCGGGTTACACATCTAAGGAGCCAGCCCCGACAATAACCCAGCTTGACGTGGACAGAATTCTTGACAGCCTCATATTCCCCTCACCACCAGATGATTCGACACTGAGCTGCTTCGGAGTGCAGGCCCCGAGTGCAATGAAGGATTTGTTTACACATCGTGAACACCAGGATTCAAAGCCCCTGAGAGAGAGAGCGCAGGAGAGAGCACAGAGAAAGGGAAAGTTACTACACACGCAGGGTTAGGAGCCCTTGTTAATTGGGACCAAACATGAAAGATCATGTCGGATCAGGAGAAAGGCGGGAAGTGTGTTCGACCTGCAGGAGCGGGAAGCCCGCAGCACTTCTCAGGAGCGCAGCCATAGCTCAAGGTGAGGCCTACCTGCGGAGCACTTCTGAGGGCGCAGAAAGGATTTGGAGCCTCTGTGGGAGGAGAGGGCGCTGGGGAGCCGGTGAGGAGCCATGGGCAGAATGCATAATGGGGCCCGGAAAGTACATCGCAATGAAAGAAGCTTAAATCTTTAATCTTTGCAAATTACAGGAAACATGCCGAGGAAATAAACACGAGAGAAGTAGGAAGGGAAGATTTTTCTGCAAAGCCGGGGGAATTTTCTAGGCTAAGGCAGGGATATGTTGACACAAGACAGTCAGTGGCTAGGATAGCTAGCTGGAGGGGAGAGGGCAGGAGGGGGGTGAGCCACGTGGGGGCGTTCTCAGTGCAGGGTAGCCTCCCCTGGCCAGTCCTCTGCACTCTGCTCTCTGTCCTGCTGTTTAGACTGTCCTGACGGGCTCCCTCGCCTTCTGGCTTCGGGTTGGGTTCA